GGGCCCCCGCCCCACCCACCCGCTGCCTGCTTTGGGGAGACCTCTGCTGTCCCCGGTGGTTTGCCTGCTGCTGCTCCCCTGGGGACAGCTGGCTCGGTCCTGCAGGGCTTCCTTCGCCTGCACGCTTTTCTCCAATCTTCATCCTCTCGGAACCCCTGGGCTTCCTGGGCTGACTCCTGACCCTTCCAACCCTCACCTCTGACTGGATCATAAACTAACCCTTTCCCCCCTTTATTCCATTTTGAGCACAGATACTTCTTTTTAGCCTAGTTTTCTCTTCCTAAACCTGAGGGTGGGCACAACCCCAGCCTCTCACTTCTGTCTGTCCTGAAGCTTTTCTGCCCTGATGGAGGCTGGACCACCTTTCTCCGCTCTCTTCTCCTGTCCTTGCCCACTGGTCTCTTAGCAGCATCCTTCACCACTGAGTCCTTAAGTAAAGAGTTGTGGCCAATGGCAGTCCTGCACCACCCCACGGGGGAGCGGCCAGGCTCTGTCAGGTCACTTCCCTGCTCTGCGTGGACGTGTCCTGGGTTCCCAGCTGCCTGACGTGCCTGTGGCTATTTTGCAACTACTAATCTGCACTGCTTAATCCCTTCACCCTTTTCACCCAGCTCCCCGACCTCCCTCCCCTGACAACTGTCTAGTCTGTTCTCTGTATCTATGAGTCTGTCTCTATTTTGTTTGTTTGTTTATTTTGTTCAATAGATTCCACATAGAAGTGAGATCATATGGTACTTCTCTTTCTCTAACTGCCTTATTTCACTTAGCACAGTACCCTCTGTTTTCTTTAATATATATATATATATATATATACTTAAAAATATATCTTTATTGATCCCAGGGAGAGGAAGGGAGAGGGAGAGAGAGAGATAGAAACATCAATGATGAGTCATTGATCGGCTGCCTCCTGCACGCCCCCAGCTGGGGATTGAGCCCGAAACCCGGGCCTGTGCCCTGACCGGGAATCGAACCCCGATCGCCTGGATCCTAGGTCGATGCTCAGCCCCTAATCCATGCAGGCCAGGCCCTCTGTTTTCTTAAAGGAAGTAGGAAGCCAGTCAAATGGGGAAAAGAGATAAGCGGGTATCAGTTCAGTAACTGAAGTAGTGCAAATAGCATCGAAGTGCAAACCACAGACTGAAGAGGCGGGCAGAGTTTTCCTCCTCACACAGTCATGGGCGTGGCCCCCTGAACCGTCTCCCGCCCCTTGGAGTCTTGTCTCGTCCCCAGGCTCCTGTCTCCTTTTAAATCAATGCGTGAACACTCTCCAGCTCTGCACTGTCATAAACCAACACAAGGGGTACATGTGATGTACAATCCTTTAGCCATGTCCTCAAAACCAGAGCATTGCTCTTCTAGGTAAAAAAAAAAAAAAAAGAAAAGCATTTAAAAGGAAATTCTACACCAGTCTATGCCACTCTCTGGTCCTGAGGATTCAAACTCTACCAGTAAAGAAAGAAGCCCTTTGAAGAGAGCACAGCGGCTGAGAAAGCTCTGGTCTTGGCATCAGCTGGACTGATTGTGCCCCTTTTATGCTTTTCTTCTTAAAGACTGAGCATCTTTATTGAAGTCACTTATCCTCTCTGAACCTCAGTTTCCTTCTCCATTAAATTGGGTATAATAATGCCTATTCTGCCTATATTTTAAAGTGTTGTGAGGCTCAAAAGAGATAGTGGAGGTGGAAGTATAGTTTTAAAGCAGAAATCTGTTATGATAATTGTGATTTTACAGGGAGTGCAAGATTTGCCAAGTTCTCCACGGGAACTATTCCAACTGGATCCATCAAGCCACAGAGAGAAAACTATAACCATCCTCATTAACGGCAGAATCATGCAGAATGTCGGGCGGAGTGTAAGGGGATTGGGTTCCCGAGCTCCTTGAGGACTGACATCTACACAAGTGCCTGTGAATGTAGCTGTTCTTGGTTGATAGGCTTTCCAGAGGGTTCATTTGGCTTGGGACATATGAAAATTAATGTATTGGTTGTTTTGAATTCAAGCTCTTTTCTCTTTATTTTCAGCACCTCTATTATATTGCATTAGACACTAATTAAGATACCTACTAAGCATCATATCTAAACAATTTACCTTTTGTAGAAATGAAGGATGGCAAAATTTAACATCCATGATGAAATGGAACATAGAGGCTGTCTGTGTGAAAGTTAATTAAATTTCAGAAAGGACGGGTGGATGATTAGGGGGAGATTTTACTGATCAATGATCATTGCATCTCTTGGTTTTAAAGAGAGATAAAACATTTTTATTTCCAGGGAGTTTTTGAAGTCCACAGTTCATAGTCATTTAGCCCAGCCCAGCATGGTTCAGTGGTGGAGCATTGACCTAAGATCCAGGAGACCGGGGTTCGATTGCCAGTCAGGGCACATGCCCGGGTTGCGGGCTCGATCCCCAGTCGGGGGCCTGCAGGAGGCAGCCGATCAATGACTCTCTCATCACTGATGTTTCTATCTGTCTCTCTCCCTCTCCCTTCCTCTCTCTGAAGTCAATAAAGATTTGTGTGTTTTTGTGTTTTGTTTTTTTTAAGATATGTTTGTTTTTGTTTTCGAGCTGACTTCTTGTTTATTTGCTACATCCCCATCAACTTTTGAGCATATCCTTACTTCCTGGCGCAAAAAGATGTCCCAGGTTCCTGCCCCAGTTCTGGAATCAGACACTTAGTTCATATTAATAAGAAATTATATTTGGAAACTAAGATCTTGGAGTGATCAGAAAGGCTCCAAGAACTTGAATGTGCGTATGTATCCAGAGAATTCCTTGTGGTCTCAATTCATCCAGAGAAGATCACAGTATGTTGAACAAGTGCTAGAGTAACTTCAGGCCAACAAATATCCACACACAGTAAGGTCAGTCCAGAAAAATAGGACCAAGTTATAGGATGGAATCCTCTCACCTCCTTTATTACAGTCTCTTGTATTTTTATACATAGTAAAGTAAGAGAAAAATCACGTCAGAGTTGGAAGACATGTGATTTTTCATTTTGCTTTACAAGAGAAAACTGATAATCAGAGAAGGTGAGCAACTAGTCTTAAGTTACACAGCAAGTGAGTAGGAAATGGGGGTATCATGCACCTTTCTTACAGGTTTGTTATGAGGAGTAAGAAAATGGATTTAGCTTAATGCATGAGAAAGTGGAAGAATCAATAAATGTTAAGTGCTAAAAAATAGTTTTGTGTAGCAGAACAATCTACAGTAAATATCAATTCCAGGTTTATTAAAAGCACTGAATTTTCATACAAGGTCCACTAGAATAAGAAGTCAGATTCTTTGCACTTGGCTGGAATTTATCTCAGTGATGCTGTGAGTTATCACATGGCGATCAGGGGCTCTAGGGTGGCATTACCTGGGTGGGTGGAGGCGGGCAAAGGCCAGGGAAAAGGGGGAACACCTGCAATTATGTCAACAAAAAATTTTAATAAAAAAAGAAATTAAAATTAGGAGTAGAAATTTCCCTTTCAAAGAAAATCACATCGATTGACATAATGTTTGATTGAAGAGTCCCTACTCACTGACATACAAAGATAGTTTTATTTTCTTTAGTAACTGCTACTTTTTGTGCTCTTTGAAACCTTTCTTTTCAGGTGGGCAGCGAGTTCCATTAATATGATTGCAGGCAAATGCTGTGCAGTCATTTTATTTATTTTTTATTTATTTTTTAATTTTTAAAATATATCTTTATTGATTTCAGAGAGTGGAAAGGAGAAGGAGAGAGAGAGATAGAAAATCAATGATGAGAGAGTAATTGATCGGCTGCCTCCTGAACGTCCCCGACTAGGGATCGATCCCGCAACCCGGGCATGTGCCCTGACCAGGAATTGAACCCCGATCGCCTGGATCCTAGGTCGGCGTTTAACTGCTGAGCCACGCCCAGCTGGGCTGTGCGGTCATTTTAGTTATTAAAATAGTCTCATTTGGGTTGTTAAACTATGGCACTTACCATTTTAAAATATCAGTCTCGAAAATGGATTTCACATGAATTGCTGATGGAAATGTAAAATGGTACAGATTTACTGGAAAACAGTTTGGTAGTTTCTTGAAAAGGTAAAGTACACACTGATCACATGAATGGTGCGGAAATTGCACTCCTGGGCTTAGAGAATTAAAACTTGTGTTCACACAAATACCTAAACACAAAAGTTTATAGTATCTTTGTTTACAATAGGCCCAAACTAAAAACAACGTAGATGTTCTTCAGCAAGTAAATGGTTAAACTGTGTGCATTTATACAATGGACTACATTGTACTTTAATGGATTACAATGAATACATTCCATTGGTAAGAAAATAAATTACTAATGCACACACCAATATGGGTAACTCTTGGGGACATTATGCTAAGTGAAAAAAACCCTCAGAGAGCCAAATACTGTATGATTCCACTTATATTACATTATTGAGGTGACAAAATTTTAATAGTGAAGAACAGATCAGTGGTTATCAGAGAGTATTGTGGTGGGAAGGGTATGACCCAAGAGGTAACATGAGGGAGTTTTGTGATTGACTTAGTTCTGTAACTTGATCATGGTAATGTGTGATAAAATTCCATAGAGCTGTATACCCAAACAAACAAACAAACAAACAAAAAGAGTGCACTGCATGTAAATACTGATAAAATCCAAATAATGCCTGTCCCCGAGTAATAGCATTGTAAATATTGTATCATGGTAAATGTTTTCTTTTGATTATGTACTATGGTTATGTAACATATTATTGGGAGAAGCTAGGTGAAGGGTCTCTCACTTATTCCAGGTATGATACTGGATAACTCCCAATATCTCTGCATTTTACCTGTTAAGTGAGGAGGTTGAACTTTAGACTCTCTTGGGTTCGTGCCTTTTAGGTCACTTGGCAACCTCTGATCTTTGTTCCTGTTGATATGTTAGACGTAGTTCATTAGGTAATTAGTAACCCAAGGCACCTGGACTGTGTGCCATGTGAATGGAGCAAGCAAGAGACCAAGTCACCTTGACTGTATGCCATATGAGTGGAGCAAATACCACAGGGAACTTCATACTATCATTTTTGCAACACTTAGGAGTCTCAATCTATTTTACAATAAAAATTTACTAAAAAATCAACCTCATACTTAGTTTAACGTTTTCCCCACACTACCCCAAAACCTTGTGCAA